AGAGACAGGCAGGGCGATTAGATCGGTATAAGCAAATGGCTTTAAAATGCTTGGTAGTCTGAAAATAATTCAGAAAACAAGATTCAGGTGCTATCAAGTCACAGCTCCAGGGTCAATTTCTCAGGTCTTGCCTACATGTAAATGACATATTGGGAACAGCGCCCTATGAATCATTCTTCATACAGTGCTAGATTCAAAAGAAGGATTGGGAACAGTGCTTTTCTGACTGATCCCATAAACAGTGCTCAGAAGTCTAACCCTGGAGTCATTTTGGTTCTGTGCATGTCTTCTCTTCTCTAGAAAGCATCTCACTTAACCATTTAGCTGTGGTTACTATAACTTCAGACACATCCCACCAGGTTGGTAGTCTGGTTTGTCCCAGCCCCAGTCTCCTACCTTCCGGTGGGGATGTGAGTAAACTCTTATATGGGAAGAGATCTTGCTTATAGCGACATAGTACAGGTGGCTTTTGATCTTAGAGCTCAGTCAATATTAGCAAGAGCACAACAAATAAAACTAATAGTTTGGGTGCACAGAAGAGGTGTAAAGGAGCATTTTCTAAAGCATTATGTCCAGCTAAGTTCCTGCCTAGATCCTACTTTCTGCAGACCATTGTCTGCCCAAGTTCCATGTCCTGACATTTGGAATGGGAGTAGATTGCAGGGCTTTCAGTGGAAAGGAGATGTGGTCGTGGTTTTTCTTGATCTGGACATCTTTGGGAACATCACACAATATTCCCACAAACTCAAAAGAATCCAGTGACTTTCAAAAAAGATACCCTTTTCAAATGATTCCATAGGTGATTATCGAATCCCCAGCTTCCTGTGTATCAAGCCCTGGGGAACACAGTCTCAGAGAACTCAAGCATGTTAGGAGGACACAGCTGAGTGAACAAAACAGTACCATGACTGCCTCTGGCCAGCAGTGGGGCCCAGGGAGGAGACTAAACATCTCTGAGCCTTGACTTCACCATCTGTAAATGAAGATCATCACAGTGCCTGGCTCCTTGAGATGATGTGAGCATTAAATAAATGAACACACTGAAGTGCCTTGAACCATACAAGAAACACAGAGCTACACAAGAGTATTTTTGTGGTGGTGATGTTATTGTTATTGGAGTACTAACCAGTGGGAAAATCTTCCCTAACTCTGCACTGCCCCAAACTAGAAAGCCCTCCCAGAAGAGGTTATGCAACCTGTGTGTTGACAAAACAAGCTGAAGGAAAGGGAAAGGGAAGGAGAGAAGTGGGAAGAGACATTGTGCACAGAGGCACAAATGCGGGGAGCTTAGCAAGAGTGGGAGCAAAGATCAGCTCCGTTTCACTGTGGAAGTCAATGCAAAGAATTAAGGATAGATCATAAAGGTTCTAATACAGCATGCCAAGGAATCTGGACTGCTAAAAATCAATTTCATCAAAAACTTGTTTCTAGAAATGTCTACAATGCTTCCTAAGATGTGCTGGCAAAGTTAACTGAATAAGGAAATTGAGAAAAGTGTACTTGATGATCACATTCTGCTAAGAAGAATGGAGAAAGTGGAATGTTCCACACACACTGGCATAACTACAGAGCCTAGGTTTGTGTTGACAGTGACTGATTTCCTGTAGTTTCCTTTCTCAGAATTCAGTGCTTCCCCTTTACTCATGTGGCATGATGACAGCCTGCCTTCTTAGTGGCATTTGAGGGTATGGCAGAGTCTCTTGTGGTCCTCCCCAGTCCTACTGTGTCCTTCCTGTTCAAGTCCTGACCTTTAATTCTGGTGGACACTATTCCTTGACAAGCTGAGAACTCAGGGTTATGGTAAATCATGATGAGCTTAAACAATTCTACCCCTTTTCTATTGATTGGATGAGATAGGATGAACACTTGCCAGGGATCAGGTAAAGACATAAGAGGCTTCTGGGAAAGTTTTCCCGTCTTTGAAAAACAAACACAGGCAATGACCCAGCCCCGACAGGCTGTGTTGTTGGCATGTGACACCGGGAATTGTGTTTCCTCTACCGCGTCTAACACAGTGCCTTCCATAGTAGATAAGTTTTCTTCTGTTGAAAATTGAAGATTTATAGCAACTTCTTAGGAGATAAAGAGAGTAGTTACCATCCTTACTAGAGATTAGGAAGCCGAGAGAGATGAGCTGGCAGTATACGTTAGGCCCACAGAGTCAGCAGGAATAGACCTAGTAACATTATGAAAATCAGGGTGTTCCCCTTTAATCTTACCAAACGCAGACCAAAACATGTTGGACCTCTTTTCATACAGATTTGCTTTTGGGCTCCAAAACAAAAGAAGGTTATGAAGGTGAGCTAAGCAGTTATGTTAGATTAAATTATTGTCTACATTTTTAAGGTAGAGTTAAACCACTGGGATTATTTAATAATAACGCTCATAGTTTTCATCTGCATGATTTCAAAAAATACACCTGCATGATGCATTGTCCCTTCTACCAGAGCATCCCTAACCTTTCTGGTGGCCCTTGCCGAAAGCTTCCTTGTAGCAAGTAACTGGCTCTTAGCCTGCTTCTCGGGCATTGGCACATCCTAGGGTGCTTTTGCTTTCTAATCTGTTCCATCTTGTCATTCTTGTGATAGATGTGATATAGAAAGTCAGACTCTATTTTTTCAATCAAGATGATCTATTTGTCTGTTATATATAAAACATAGTGCTGCAGATATGGAAATCCACAGAGGAGAAAAATTAAGAAATGTTGCAAAACAGAAAATGATGAGACCTACGAGTCTTTTAATCTACAAATAAGTGGGGAAGCAAAACTCTTTCAGTTAAGGCAGACTTGTGTGGAGGAAGAACGCACAGAGGAAGGAGGTGCTTACCATTACTTCTCGCTGGGAACAGTCACTACGCATAGTCAAATTTTAATGATTATATTAGAATTTGGGGGAGATCAGGTTTTAATCATAAATCTCCCATAAAGCCTGAAGTATTTGCAAGTTTATTCAGAGAACAGACAACATCTGCATATTTGAGCTTAACTGAATAATTCCTTCAGAATAAAAGGATACTCAAGAGCCTTACATTAGCATTTTGAAATAACTCTGTGTGTGTGTGTGTGTGTGTGTGTGTGTGTGTGTGTGTGTGTTTGCCAGGCAGCTTGAGAAGGAATCTAAGGAATTTATTGAATAGTCTGGGGACCTGATCAGCCTTCCCACCAGGAAAAGCCCAACCACGCCATCACATGAACCCTCTCCCATACTCTACACTGAAACCCAGCTTGGCAAACTCCTACACTGACTTGGTGGTCTTCCCTGCAGACCAACTAAGAAGGCCAGCCCCAAGGCTTCTAAAGCTGCTAGCCTCCAAGGGAATATTGTTACATAGCACTGTACCCTAGAAAGCTGAACACTCCCTCTTCATATTTGGGAGGCAGCCTTTGAATTAAGTGATTTTTCCCACTGATGGCAAATATTAGAGTAGTATTCAAAAAAGTTAAGGCTGTAGAAATCTGTGAAAGGAGGGTAAACAATCGTTTATCTTGATGTAGATCCAGCAGACTCAGCAGCCAGCTCCACCCTTCTGGTTGTCCCTGGAGTTTCGCTAAAATGCATGAAGCCCAGAGTGGAACATGAACTCTGCTGTTAAGAAATGTAAGGTGGGAAGGCTGGGGAGATAGCTCAGTTGAATAAGCACTTGACTGGCAAGCTCAAGGGCCTGAGTTCAATCCCCAGCTCTGCCAAAAAAAAAAAAAAAAATGGAAGGTAGGCTGCAGAGATAGCTCAGTGGTCTAAGCACCTGCCTGGCAAGCACAAGGTACTGGGTTCGATCCCCAGTACCAGCGCCCATGCCGGCCCCATGCCATGATGTGAAATTGCTGTAATCCCAGCACAGGGAAGACTGAGACAGGAGGATTGCTATGAATCCAAGCTTCATAGCTAGACCTTGTACCACAGCAGCCAGGGTTCGATCCCCCAGCTCCTGGGGCATGCTGAGACAGTGATTGAGACTGGGAATGGTGGCATGTGCCTGTAATCCCAGCTCTTGGGAGACTGAACACAGGGAGATCACTATGAGTCCAATCTATATAGTGAGACCCTATAGATCCATACTAAATTTTTTTTTAAATCTGTACCAAATAATAAATAAATAAACTAAAAATAAGAAGTCTGGGATGGAGGAAAAGGAGCAGTGGTTTAGGATCTGCATGTGTTTGAAAGTTCCACAAGGAAGTGATGTTACCTAGAAAATATAGAACTGTGTTAAAAATGACTGGGTGGCTTTCCTAATGTGTTCTCTACTCCCCATGGGACTCTGTTGTCATCACCCAGTGGCTATCTGTTTGGTACTGTGACAGTATTCCTCCCTGCCAGTCTCCTCCAGGATCCAGCAACCTCCTCTTGTGTCTGCAGTAAATTCAACTTCACCTGTAGTCAGCCTCCCCCACACATACACCAAGGTATACACATGCTGCAGGACGTTCAGTCTGAGCTCATAATCTTTGAAGCCCTAAGTGCTCTGAAAAACAAAACCTAGACAAATCTCTCACCAAGATAAGGAAATGAGCTCCCAGACATCACCTTTGAAAAGATTCAATTTGAGTACTCAGGCCTGTAGGTCACTAGGTTACTCTGTAGCATATGAACCAGGGATTCCCATGAGAGTAACAGGTTTAATTTAGCTCTTAAAACTCTTCCTTACAAGTTGTCTAATACTATGACTGTGAGGCTTTTTCTTCTCCTTTTAACTACTTACAAAAATATTTTGTTTATTTCTCGTGTATTTTTGATCTGGATCTCTGTAATCTTCATTTGTCTCTGTTCCTGACAACTTTTGGAAAATTAATTCAGAGTTTAAAAAAAAAAAAAAAAAGGCAAACACTGCTTTCACCCTCCAGCTCTCTGTCTCTGCTAGAGCAGGAAATGCATTTCTGACACTTTTAAAATGAGCAATCACACATATAATCAACTTGGTTAAAACTTCCTTCCTGGTAACTGCAGTACTTCCTCTGCATCTGGATACGAAGGGAGCCCCAGAAAAGCGGAAGAACTGAGAAGCACCCTGTGTAGGTCTGAATTTGTTTTGTTTTCAAAAATTAAACAAATGATCCTTCAGCATCATCGCTCCTCTGCTCTATCAGGTATTGCTTCCTTCTATTTTTGCCCTTTCTTGGTTCTGATTCAGAGTAGTGGCACTTCCTTTTCAGCTAGCATATTTTTATCTGCAGCTGCTGCTGGTTCTTACTACGATCTGACCGCTGAGTGTCTGCATTTCCTTGTCTATTCCAGCTGAGACTCTGGATATCCATGGTGTTCCGGCAATAGTTTGCAGGTGCATTGGTTCTTTTTTGTTTTGGTTTGGAAGGAAGAGGGAGGGCCTAGAGCTAGTGGAAGCCAGGCTTTGTAGTCTTGCAAGTGTACACTTAGAAATTACTGTACTTAAGGTGGTTCTAACGTCTTTTCATGAGAGGAGAAAGCATCATAGACTCAACCATGAAGGAAACCAGTGAGTATTGGCTCAGCTTGCTTTCTTCTACGTCTTGTATCTAACGTGAGAGTTTGGTGCCACCGAGGCAGATATCCTTGTATATTTGTATGCTGCCAACTTAACGTCAATATCAATGTATCATATAGTTCTTTGTTAGTTATCCAAGAGTGTAGCTAAGGACCAAAGTGAACATTTTAAACTGCAAGAGACAGTTGTGTGGGACAGTTGGTTTTATTTATCTACTAAGTATAACTTCATTACACTTTAAGAGAAGGAATATTGACATTAAAAAGAAGTTAAGTCAAGAAGTTATGAAACTTGTCTTAAATTTTAATCAAAAAAAATGTGGTATCTAGTAAATGTGCTACTGCTTCTTAAGATAATAAATAATAATTAGTGTCATTAACATCAGTTACTTAAGAGAATAAATGATATTTTCTGAAATATTAACTATTTCAATAGTTGATTCTTATTAGGAATGTATTACAATAGTGATATAAATATTAAAATAAAAATATCTTACTATTCACCTTCCAAATTTTGTAATTTTTGAATTTCAGTCAATTGAAGTGTGTCAAGTGAGTGCATACTTTTATAGTTTGTGGAAGAAAGGTACTTATTAAATACTTGCAAAAACAGGTAAGTTAGTGTGAGCAAACTTGTGGATTTTTGATATAGAAATGAAAATGTTAGATCAAGTAAATAAGTTAAATAATAGTGGGATAAACAGTAGCTTGCTGGAGTCCAGAAATTTTTCCCCCAACCTGCATGTCTTCTACTAGGGCAGCAAAGATTCAACTAGATCTAAAGAAATTGGTTAAAGTTAAAATTAATTAGATGCTCACAGCAGGTGAGGATAGCCCTGAGTGTCTCCTCTTAGACACAGCCCTAACATAACAATGACAGCTAGAATGTTCAGACAGTTCACAATCCTAAAGTTTATATATCTTCAAATAATCTTAGTTGCAAATTTACCAGTGCTGGTATTTTTTAGTTTTATGAACGAAATGACTAGCTTTCTTAAATAGAAAAAAAGAACAAGAAAAAAGAAGAACAAGAACAAGAAAAAGAAAAAGAAAAAGAAAGAAAAAAGAAAGACAGGAAGTTGCCTGGGGAGTAAATCCTGGGTCCAGACAGTTTGAAAATAGAGAACATGAGGCGTGGTTGGGTAAAGTGTCTGGTTAGAGAAGAAGTGTGAGACTGAGCAAAGGAACTAAATTAAGGCTTGTTTTCAAAGGGAGATGCTTCTGTGTTGCACCTTCTAAACTAGGACTTGATCCTTAACGGTACTATTTTACTTATCTGTGGGTTTCAGTACCCACTTGAGAACAGTTACCATTTGTAGCCTTGTCACGCACCATGCTAGGTGCTGTCTTACCTGCCGAGAACATTCTCCACCCCAACCCCCACCACTGCCCAGTACTGAGGATTAAACTCAGAGCCTTCCACTGAGCTAAGTCCCCAGTGCCTTTTTTTTTTAAGACATACTCTTGCCAAGTTGCTAAATTGCCCAGGTTGGGTTCTAATGTTCAATCTTCCCGCCTTACTCATAGTGCTGGGACTACAGATCAACAGCACTATGTCCAGCTTCTGTTATTATTATTATTATTATTATTATTATTATTATTATTATATAAATTTTCTAACACAAAAGTGGAACCAACAATGACCCCCTCCTTCATAAACCCATTGCCCATACAAGCCGGTATAGACTTTTAAACTTCTACCTCCCTCTTCTGAGTTGTTACCAACCAATGCAACAGATAAGAAACGGAATCAGAGATCAAACAGCCCAAATCACCAAAAAGGCAACAGAAGAGGGCCAAGGTGCCTGTGCCCTGACTCCTGGAACCGACCTGTTGTCCAGCCCCTGACCCAGTCCCCAGTCCCCATGGGCCAGCAGTCCAGAACACCCTCCCTCCTGCCACCTTGCGAGCAGAAACAAAGGGAAGGCCCTTTGGTAACACAGCCCTCTGCTTCTCCCCGCCAGGTCACCGGCGTAATGGAGCTGGAGAACTCTGAGCCGGCTGTGATTCTCAGGGAGGACAATCTCCGCAGGCGCCGGAGGATGAAGCCACGCAGCGCGGCCGCCAGCCTGTCTCCCACAGAGCTACTGCCCATAGAGTTCGTGCTGCCCACCAGCCAGCGTCACAGCAAGGAGCCCGAGACTGTGCTGCTGCACGTGGCGGGCCACGGCAACGTGGAGCAGATGAAAGCCCAGGCGTGGCTGCGCGCCCTGGAGACCAGCACGGCCTCAGACTTCTATCACCGCCTGGGCCCGGACCATTTCCTCCTGCTGTATCAGAAGAAGGGACAGTGGTATGAGATCTACGACAAGTACCAGGTAGTGCAGACCTTAGACTGCCTGCGCTACTGGAAGGCGCTGCACCAGAGCCCTGGACAGATACACCTGGTGCAGCGGCACGCGCCCTCCGAGGAGACCCTGACCTTCCAGCGGCAGCTCACGGCACTCATGGGCTACGATGTCACGGACGTCAGCAACGTGCACGACGACGAGCTGGAATTTACGCGCCGCCGCCTGGTCACGCCGCGCCTGGCCGAGGTGGCCTGTCGCGACGCCCGGCTCTATGCTATGCACCCCTGGGTGACATCCAAGCCCCTCCCAGAATACCTGTCCAAGAAGATCGCCAACAACCACATCTTCATTGTCCTGCACCGCAGCACGACCAGCCAGACCATCAAGGTCTCAGCCGATGACACCCCCGCCACCATCCTCCAGAGCTTCTTCACCAAGATGGCCAAGAAGAAGTCGCTGATGGACATCCCTGAGAGCCAGGGGGAGCAGGACTTTGTGTTGCGCGTCTGCGGCCGCGATGAGTACTTGGTGGGGGACACGCCTATCAAAAACTTCCAGTGGGTGCGGCACTGCCTCAAGAATGGAGAGGAGATCCATCTGGTGCTTGACACACCTCCAGACCCAGCTTTGGACGCGGTGAGGAAAGAGGAATGGCCCCTAGTGGATGACTGCACAGGGGTCACCGGCTACCATGAGCAGCTGACCATCCACGGTAAGGACCACGAGAGCGTCTTCACTGTGTCTCTGTGGGACTGTGACCGCAAGTTCAGGGTCAAGGTCAGAGGCATAGACATCCCGGTTCTACCCCGCAACGCGGACCTCACAGTCTTTGTGGAAGCCAACATCCAGCATGGGCAGCAGGTCCTCTGCCAACGACGGACCAGCCCCAAACCCTTCACGGAGGAGGTACTCTGGAACGTGTGGCTTGAGTTCAGCATCAAAATCAAAGACTTGCCCAGGGGTGCTCTGCTGAACCTCCAGATCTACTGCGGCAAAACTCCAGGGTTGTCAGAGTCCAGGGGCAAAGCTCAGCTGCTCTACTACGTGAACCTGCTGCTGATAGATCACCGCTTCCTCCTGCGCCACGGGGAGTACGTGCTGCACATGTGGCAGATACCCGGGAAGGGGGAAGACCAAGGGAGCGTCAACGCCGACAAGCTCACCTCTGCGACCAACCCAGACAAGGAGAACTCCATGTCCATCTCCATCCTTCTGGACAATTACTGTCACCCAATAGCACTGCCGAAGCATCGGCCCACCCCCGACCCTGAAGGAGACAGAGTTCGAGCTGAAATGCCCAACCAGCTTCGCAAGCAGCTGGAAGCGATCATAGCTACAGATCCACTCAACCCCCTCACAGCAGAGGACAAAGAACTGCTCTGGCACTTTAGATATGAAAGCCTGAAGCACCCAAAAGCCTATCCTAAGCTGTTCAGCTCAGTGAAATGGGGAGAGCAAGAAACGGTGGCCAAAACATATCAACTGTTATCCAGAAGGGAGATCTGGGATCAGAGCGCTTTGGACGTGGGGTTAACGATGCAGCTTCTGGACTGCAACTTTTCAGATGAAAACGTCAGGGCTATTGCAGTTCAGAAGCTAGAGAGCCTGGAGGATGATGATGTTTTGCATTACCTCCTGCAGCTGGTGCAGGTAAAAGATGTTGGTGTCAGCAACAGAACTGTCTTTATGTTTACTTGCAGGCGTGTATTTGCATGCACACAGGCACCCCATTCAGTCCTCAGCAGATACTCTTTCTTCACACTGCTTCCTGAGTCGGCAGAATAGATTTGATGATGCCACCCAAAAACGTAGTAAATTCTTCCACTTACTTTCTGACTGTCTTTGGGGATTTGCTGACAAGCATTTTAAAGATAGTGCTGTTCCTTGCTTTGTAAAGAGAACTGTCTCTGAAAAATATTTCGTTCTCATAGTTTTAGTGATAGATCCAGCTGTCAATGTTTCCTTGTGTCAGTGCTCCGAGTGATTTACATGATTTTTGTTTATTATCTCATTTAACTGTTCCAGACCATCAAATTCATTTCCTTATTGTACATAAGGAAATTGAGGCAAAGAAGGCAAAGGCCTATGTCCAAGGCCCAACACTTTGAAAGAAGCAGACAAGAATTCAGACGTAGGAGATCTGACTCCAAGCCCAGCCTTTTTCCTGCCCCCAAATATCCATTATCAGTCTGATGTCAGAACAGTGTGGGCTTGCTTACTGTCCACCTGTGTCTATTATGATTTATAGAACAACATCTCATGTCCGGTCAAATTTTGAAAATGCCTCACTTTAGAAAGGAACAGAACTTTATTTCCACTGGGGTTCCATGATATTCTCTGGGGTCCCAGGATGCCAAGTGATGTTTCTAACATTTAGCTAGTCCTCAAATGATTGCTTGACAAGGAGAAGGAACTAAAGGAATTAGAATAACAATGTAATTTTAAGGCACAGACCTGATGATTTATGCATTCACATGTACTGAAAAGACTCACATTAAATGAGAACACACAACAAAGTGTTTAATAAGAAGCTGTGACAAGGACTTCAGGGAAAACCGTAGAGTATTATGGGAAAATAGGGGGTCAGGGACACTTAATGTTAACTGAGGGCTCCAGAGACAGTTCAGAGTAGATGATGTTTGGCCCGTGGTCTATAGAATTCTAAATTTTAGAAGCCAAACTGTCTAACCACTGTATTTGTAGGAAGTCCCTGGAGTTTTCTAATAAGCATTTTGAATATTATTCACTTTGAATCTTTGCCTTCGCATTAAGTCAGATACTTAAAATATTTGGGCTTTACTTTTTCATGAAATATATTCAATATTTTCTGCTCACTACTTCAGATACTGGCACAATATTAAAAACTTTTAGAATAATTAAGGACCTTCAATTTTTCTAGCTCTCTATAACAAAACTAACATAAAGCAAATTTGCATCAGCTCTGTTTCAAGTCCCAGTGCTCCCATGAATTATTTCTCATTGTCATTTTTACAAGCAGACTTTGCAAAATTAGAAGATATATAGTGCTCTTCTTGGAAATGTTTTAAGTGAAAGAGGTCAGTAAGCTGTATTAACAGTGAATTGTAATCTTAAATTTGAAGGAGAGGAGTCATTTGTAAAACAATTTAAGACACTCTCAGATATGACTAAATGACTCATTCCTGATTAAAATGGACTCTCAGTTGAGTTCTTCATTGTCTTTACAGAAGTGAAACATGAAGAAGGTCAGAAAGGCTCACATTAGGTTAGAAACTCAAAACATAGAGTTCTTATGACCAAATAATCACATTCTCAGAATTAAGGCCTGAGATGAAGTTATAATGGCATATTGGACCACAAACACTAAAAGTATACTTAAAAGTGTAGGTGGACTTGAAACATTATGAAGTGAGTGTCCTTTTCCAAGCTGGAAAACAAGAGTAAGGACTGCAAATTATACCAAGAAGACTCCGGATCCCAAAATATAAACTAGGATAGAAACATCTTCTGCTCCTTGAAAAGAAAAGATCAACTACTTTTAAAAGGAACATTCTAAGACATTTTATTTTAAACCACTCCAGGTTTATACGTGATATCTATCCTCTAAATTTATTTATACACTTATTAGTTTTGTTGCTCGAGGTCCACTATTTTCTTCGTAACACCTTTCTGAACTCCCACTTACCAGATCTGTTATAGCCATCTCCCTTTGACTCATCCAGCAAATCAAGTCAGCCCTTAATAGGAGAAAATGCCCATACCTCTGCACCTCTGAAGCTGGCAATAGCCCCTGACTGTGAATCTAGAGTTCTGGCCAATAAAATCCCAGCTCTGTCATCAGCTACTCTGTGATCCTAAGCAAGTGATTCACTCTGGTTCTAAGTGTATTCTGAGGAAAAAGGTTGAATTTAAGTGACTGCTAAGATTCTCATCACAGGAGCAAAGCATCAGCTCCTCTCTAAGTCCATCTCTCTGACTTACCAACATAGAAAGCAATCCTACAATGCCATGTGTTCTTTCTTAGGCTGTGAAATTTGAACCATACCATGACAGTGCCCTGGCCAGGTTTCTGCTGAAGCGTGGCTTGAGAGTAAGTACTTCTGTTTTGGTTATAGCATGACATTTGAGATCACCAAGAACTGCATGACAGCACTTTCATTATAATAATCTCAATCTTCTTGTACTTGCCTCAGAACAAAAGAATTGGTCACTTCCTGTTTTGGTTCTTGAGAAGTGAGATCGCCCAGTCCAGACACTATCAACAGAGGTTCGCAGTCATCCTAGAAGCCTATCTAAGGGGCTGTGGTGCCGCCATGCTCCAGGACTTGGCCCAGCAGGTCCACGTCATTGAGATGCTGCAGAAGGTTACCATTGACATCAAGTCCCTCTCTGCTGAAAAGTATGACGTCAGTGCCCAGGGTATAGTGGCTACATTTCCTTGGTCCTCTTTCCAAATGCCATTGCGACTATGATTCTTCCTTTGGGAAACCAAGCTATATCTTCCTAAAGGGAGCCAGACACACATATTTTTGTCTCTTATCTGCTTGAAGCAAGTGGATTTGTAACTTTCCTTCTGCAAGTTAATGATTTTTCTAAAACTATGAATTCATATTTTCTTAATAATGAAGTATAATCATAAATACTAAGCTCTTTGAAAAAATTAAAAATCACTCTGTAGGTTTTAGATGTCATCTTTAAGAACACCTTGACAGAGACTTATTTCCAAATCCATTGCTTTTTCTTCCTATTTTTAAATATGTGCATATAGGTTTAAAGTTTCCATCTTGGGGGCCTGCTGGTTAGCTCAGGTGTTGAAGTGCCTGCTCATGCAAATGCAGTCAGGTGCAGGATACCACAGTTTGATCCCCACCTCCACCTGTCTTACCAGACCACCCTTAAGGCAGGCTGAGCCAGCCAAAAAAAAAAAAAAATCCTTCAAAAATTTCAGTCTTTTGGGCTGGGGCACAGTGCCTGCCCGGCAAGTGAAATGTCCTGAGTTCAATTCCTAGTACCCAAACAGAAACCCTTTCAGTCTTTTTAAGGTAATAAATTATGGAGAAGTTACATTAGAATATTTTACATCTCTTCATATGTGTCTATATTCCAGAGTAATATCTATGCACATCACTTACCTTTACACACACACACACACACACACACACACACACACACACATACACAGATGCTCTTCCTCATTACCATTATCCTGTCTCTGTCCTAGGAAATTTAATTCCTTTCTATGGTGCCACAAGTTTAAAATGATACACATGAAGTTACTGTCCTTAGCACATCTCTCTGTCCTGACAAAATGTGTGAACCTTGAAGTGAGGGACTTCTCCTCGCCATCTTTACACATGCATATACCTGCCATCCTGGCTCAAAATCAACCCTTGCCAGTGTACTCAGCCAGTGTTTTAAATTTCTAAATATTTCAAATTTCTATTTTTCCCCTTTGATTTTTCTCTGGTACACAAATAATATTGTCTCCTAAAAATGGTAATGGCAGTAAGTTTATATTTGTATTGAACTTTATTTGGTTAGTCAGGGAATAATTGTTTATTTATATATTTTGCCTTTAAAATTTTGAAATGTTACACTTTTGAGAGAAATTTACAGAACCCCTACCAACTTCTGTTCAGTATTGGCTTTAAATCAGATGACAGTACAGAGTTTCACATGCTGGGGCAAAAAATACAGCTGTTAATTCCTTAGTGTTACCTTCCAAGCATCCTCCTTTCTCTGGCAGCATGGTATCTGTGTGTCATCCCACACACGAGATGCCACCACATATCTTTATCCCCTGCTGTGGGTCGGGTAGACCGTTATGTTGCTTACAGTAAGCCAGACTCATCCTGCCACTTTGCCTGTTTCCCCTTTTCTGTTGCTCCACCCCAGACCAAATATGTTGAATGCAAATCACCATAGCCTGAGGGTGTAGATAATGCTGGTAATTTCTTCAACTGACTTAACTGTCATGTGCTTTTGACAATTGCAGTTATTTCACAACTGAAGCAAAAGCTTGAAAACCTGCAGAATTCTAATCTCCCAAAGAGTTTTAGAGTTCCATATGATCCTGGACTGAAAGCAGGAACGTTGGTGGTAGGTATCACTTGGGGGTCCCCGTGTACTCTCTATGCACTGTAAGGGTCTAGTATGCTCTCTAAGGCCTGGCCTTCAGAATGACACAGTATACAGGCAGAGAGTCTCTGATGGGCTCTGTCAAGGTCTTCTGTAATCACCAACCCTGAAAGCCTCAACATCAAGTAAAATTCTTTCTGTTTTGTTTTAAATCAGCTTAGTGAAGTATGCTTTACATATAGTGAAATTTGCCCACTTCAAGAGTACAAGTCAGTACCTTCTGACAAATGTAGGCTGCCATATAACCACCAAGGTACAGAACATTTTTGTAGAAATGTTACCCACAAAGGTCCTCTCAGGTCCTATAGCAACTAAGTTTTTATGAGTCCCTACTTGGCTTCTCTGACCTATTCCACTGACCTGAATGTTTGTACCCAATCCCACACACTCTTGATTGCATTAAAATCATAAGTCATGGTGTACACAGCTAAGAATTCTGTGATAAATCCATTAACCTCCCCTTGTCCTTTGTACTGTTTTTGGCAGACTTTTGATGTCTGTATATGTTAGAAACCCCACCACACAGTTAAGGCTTTTGCTTTAAAGAAAGATACATTTAACTGACTTAATAGATTAAACCATTTAAAAATATTTACCCCCATCTTTGTCATTTTTTGGTTACTCTTTATTGCTCTGGATGGGCCCAAATTTCTGCCTGACATTGTTTTTGTTTGATTTTTAACATTTTATACTGCTAGTCTGCTGACGATAAATGATCTCAGCACTTGAAAAACTTTTCATTACACCTTCTTATTTGAAAAATGTTTTCACTAATTATAAAACTCTAGATTGACTAGTTTTGTTATCTTGTTTTCAGTAGCAGCCTCTTCTGGCCTGCACATTTTCTGATGTTAAGTGTAAGTCTCTGTTCTTTTTATCTTCACTTTTCTCTGCATAATATCTTCTTTTCCTCTAGGATTCATTTAAAAATTTTCTTTTATCATTGGTTTTTAGCAAATTGTGATGAGCTCTGGAATGGTCTTTTTGTTGATTTGGTTTGGTTTTAAGGGGTTTTTGTTTTGTTTTTTTGGTGGAACCAGGGATTGAACTCAGGCCCTGGTGCTTGCCAGGCAAGTGCTTGTTCTACTGAGCCATCTCCCTGGCCCCATGGGGTTTTTGTTTTGTTTTGTGTCTTGTGGGGCTTTTTCTTATCTGCTAGGGTCTGTTGAGCTGCTTGGACTTGTGAGTTTAGAGTCTGTCACATTTGGAGATTGGTCAGCCAATATTTTTTTCTGTATTCTCTTTCTTTTTCTGTTAACTATATTCCAGACTGCAAGACCATGGGTACACTCTAGGTTTCTGTTCTCTGTGCTCCAGCCTAGAGTCATTCCTCCAAGGCAAACTGGAGCAATCCCAGGGCTCATTGGATTTTTCTCCTTTCTCCCAGCGTCATAGAGCTCCTCTGGCCCCTGTTGCCCAGTGCCTAAGTAGAGCTGCTCTCTATATTTTTCCTAGTTCTGTTTATGGCAGGATAGAAACTCTTAAGCACTTAAAGCTCATAGAAAGAAGGGGAAGCTTCTCTCTTCATGCTTAATTTCAGATGCAACTATCCATAGATGAGCTCCATAGCAAAAGCACTGTCCTTTATTTAGATAATAGCAGGAATATGACACATCAATACTGCCTTCAAATTGTTTTGTTTAAAGACCACATTGCACTTTGATTCCATAATGAATTCACCTTTGGCTAAAATGTCTAAGGTTTTGAATCACTGCTAAGCCACATTTCCTCTATCTTAATTTTTTTTTAGGTGGAGGGGGCACTTCAGGAAGGGGTTTATTGTACTTGAATGCCAGACTTCCTCTGTATTTCTGTTGAATTTCATCTTGTTGGGTTTGGCATATTGCATCTGATGCTGCAGTAATTGCTTCTTAGACACCCTGTAGCACTGTAATTTTTTATTAAATAAAACTTTATGGACGGGCTAAATATTTAAACAGACATTGGCACAGTTGCTCTGAATTAGAGGGAATGGAGGTATACCAGGGTCCTGTGGGGTGGGGAGGTGGGTGGCAGGATGGGGTCTCCCACACCTCTTGGCATCTTTGTAGACCCTTAGGGTTCCTTGAAGTACAGTGTAAGAACTACCAGTTGAAGAGTTATAAATTTGCTGTCACATAACATTTCCAAATTTAGTGAGAACCCCTTCTGTATAATCTTATCCAAATATGAAAAAAACATTTGCTAGCCAGGATTTTGTTTTAGTTATTTGCAATAGTGTTTTACAAGAGAAGTTGTATCTCCACAATGTGTACTCATGGAATGCACCCAACATGTACCCCTTTCCTCACAGATTGAAAAATGTAAAGTGATGGCCTCCAAGAAAAAGCCCCTGTGGCTGGAGTTCAAATGTGCTGACCTCACTGCTCTGTCCAATGAAACAATTGGAATTATCTTTAAACACGGTGATGATCTGCGCCAAGACATGCTTATTTTGCAGGTATGCTCGATTATCTGAAAAAAAAGAATGCTGTATGTTAGATTTAAGATGTTTTCCATCAATTGTATTCCCATTTTCTTCTTTCTTCTGATAAACAGTAATCATGTGTTACCTAGTACAGAGTTGCCATTTAGGGAATATAGTAGTGGATTGTGCAATCTAATCCACATCACAACCCTAGTCATCCCTTCCAAGATGCATAGCAAAAAACATACTCTCTCACCTAACTTCTTTTTATGTACCTCATTCTGAGCTTGGTAACATAGAATGTAGCTATAATTACATCCAGAATACAACTTATTCCTATTAATAGGCATCTGCACACTCACAGCATTCTCTTTAGCTACATCATTTTATATATACATGCACGTGCGTGCGCACACCCACACACACAAAGCCCACGAATTGAATGCAAAGGAGAGAAAAGCTGAACAAGTAGATCGTTGGATAGATTGTACAGCTCAGCTATGAGAGTGACCCTGCTAGTAGGACAGAAGATGAACAGCAAAGGTACCAGTACTAATCATTTCAGTTTCTAACATTTCTATATAAACTTTAGCTTCACAAATCTGTAAAGTTATAGTCTCCAGATTCTAGTTTCTCAACCTTGGGGAGGTAGCAATTTGTCAACTTTTATGTAACTTATTCAAAATAAGCAAACCACACTGGCCTAAAGACAGGCTACTTAAAAACTAGTTGTGCTTTCAATTCTCTCTAAGATTCTCTTTATTTTTAATATGAAAACAATAATACTTTTCAAGAATAGTATATGCATTGTCCAAGAAGTATTTTTAAAAAGAAAAGAAAGCCTTTGATCTTTTGTTACATTAATTCAATTTCTAACAAATCTGTAGAGTCTTTTGAGTTGTTCAAAGATGAGGACTTCAAAAACAAATTGTTCTGTTATTCTTCTGAATTTGAAGGGAAGTTTGCACTTGTCTTTTATATACTTTTCTTTATTGTTTGAATTCATAGTTTGAAACTAAGGGTAAATTACATAAGCTTTCTAAGCTATTATTCCTTTATCTGATGAAAGTAATCACTGTCCCAGTGTAAAATAAGTGCAAATCACATATAAAAGAAAACTCAGTAAATATAAGCTATTATTGTCATCACTGTAATTATTTGCTGCTTCAGTTGTAGCCTATAAGTGTCTTATGGGTTTTAGAGTAGAAAACATGTGAAAATATGTTAGAGTTATTGTGCTAACACACACATAGTGGAGTGGAACATTTTGAATAAATAGGTAATGAAACATGTTTAAAATCTGCCCCCATAGAAAACCATTTACCCTCTTTCCAAAAGTCCATTTCAGGGACTGAAATTAACAGGCTTGCAATAATAAGAAGCTTAAGAACATCAAGTTGATTAATTAAAGTTGGGTTACTACTTTCCCAGTTTACATGTATTCTTATATTTTGTGTTTCCAGGTAAGAATCCTAGTTTTAAGGGATAAAACATATTCAATAAATATATACTTATAATAGAAATGTTTCTGTGTTTGGATGCTCAGATTCTACGAATCATGGAGTCCATTTGGGAGACTGAATCTTTGGACTTGTGCCTCCTGCCATATGGTTGCATTTCAACTGGGGACAAAATAGGTATGAGATCACCTCAAGAGATGAATGTGGGGGCTGGAGAGATAACTTGGCAGTCTAAGCACCTGCCTGGCAAGTGCAAGGATTCAGCTTCAATCCCCAGTACCACATGCCACGCCGGCCCCCAAACTGGGTGTAGTGGTGCACGCCTATAATTCAAGAATTTGGGGAGGCTAAGACAGGAGAATCACTATGAGTCTGAACTGCATAGCAAGACCCCATTTCAAATAAATAAGTAAATAAATAATTTTTAAAAAGAAAAGAGATGTATGTGCTTCTCAGTTAGTTTTCAAAGATCATAATTCCTCTGGCATGGGCATTTGATAACTGAAAAATTACAACCATAACCTATATAAAAATGAGGAAAATATTCAAGGCTGGTGAACACAAATAGCAACTTGATTCTTACACAAAAACTACGTGAGTGCATGATTTGAATCCTTATAATTAGGCATGGAAATCATTTTAGCAAGAACAACTTCTTCTTCTTCTTCTTCTTCTTCTTCTTCTTCTTCTTCTTCTTCTTCTTCTTCTTCTCCTCCTCCTCTTCCTCCTCCTCCTCCTCCTCCTCCAACTCTAAACTCTAAACTCATGTCATTATACATTAAACTTTTCTCTTACAAATAACATTTAAAATTAGACAGAAAGATCTGTCACTTATTTTTAAATTCCAGAAGTCACATTATTAAAGCTATCACACTCTCTACTCTTAGGTATTTAACATTCTAGTTTCAGTCAAACATATTTTTGTTCAGGTTTCTGATGTGAGTAATGTACAAAACCATTTTCATTTGACACTGTAATTAAAAAAGAAAGGGACAAATGACCAAGTAAGCAAGGATGTAGTCAGCACATGAATATCTTTACTAGTCACTGTTCAGCACAGCCTTTCTTCTTCTTATTCAGAGCTATTGCAGTAACAGTGCTTCCAACTGCTATACCCTCCTATTCTTTCTCTACCTCAAGAAACAAAACAGAAAACAACAAAAATCCACAATAGTGCAAACCTGGAAAATTGTCACCAGTTTAAAACAGAGAGCTCAGGGCCCCAGCCTGCTGTGATGGTCCCGCCCCCAGGGCACACTGAGATGGAGATTGAGACTTGGGGTGGTGGCATGCACTCCTGTAATCCCAGTACTTGGGATGCTGAAAACAGAATCACTAAGAGTCTGATCTACATAGTGAGACCCTGTACACCCTGTAGACCCTGCCCTAAACTGATGATATAATAATAAGGATGATAATTTTAAAAACACCCTCTGCATTCCACTAAGAGACAGTCATTCCTCCTGTGCAGCCAGACTTGGTCTCCAGTCCCCATGAAATTCTTTACACTGTCATTTAGGAATGATAGAGATTGTGAAAGATGCCACCACCATTGCCAAAATCCAGCAAAGTACAGTGGGCAACACCGGTGCATTCAAAGATGAAGTCCTGAATCACTGGCTCAAAGAAAAATGCCCTATTGAAGAAAAGGTGAGCTTGCACTTTCCCACAGCCCAAGTTCCTTACAAGCTACTGCTTACATGGCAATAGTGTTCCGGTTCTCAAAGGCCCTTCCAACATCTTGCCCCCTGACAGATGGGTGAAGCGCTTCACTCATGAGGTAGTGGTGATTTAAGGGCTTTCCCATGATGACAGTGTCTCTGTGTACAACAGAGGGGCTCGGTGCCAGGCTCCACGAGCATTTGCTTTCCCTTTGATTAGCAGGCATGCTCTACATAGAATCTGGCTTTGTGAAATAGTCTCTTAGCGCTTTTGATGGCTATTTTTGTTGCTCAGCACAAAGATTTAGTCACCGTGTATAAACTCTCCCCTACCTGGGAAATGCCACAGACCAACAAAGTCATTTCTAATTTATCACTGTGCTCTAATCTGGATGGTAAATTATGGATGCTGAAAATGTCAGCTGCACCATCCTCTGAAGTGCATATGCTGAATCCTTCACAAGCTGTGTGGTTAGGCTGTCTGGCTGTCGTTTAAATATCTAGTGCACAGGATTAGCACTTTGCATTTGCATGGTTAGCAGCCTTTTGAACAGGAAATATAATCAGCAGCACTTATTACTCTGTTAAACATGAGCACTTGTGAACCCAGACATACTCCTCGGTGGTCACAAGCAAAACATGCTCAGCAGTAGAGGAGAAATTGCTATGGGCTCTGTATAGTAGTGGGCAAGGGTGCATGGAGAGGAGTTGAGCGCTGTATTGATTTACTGCTGCCCTTTGACTCTTATGTCTTTGTGCTATTGGGATTCATTGACTTTTCGCCTAAATATAAGCAGAGCAAAGCGAAAGCTGGCACTTGATAGATGCAATGCTTATGAAATCAGGCACAACTTGCTTGCTGTCTGAAAAGGGTTCCCAAAAGTGTTTTTTTTTTCTGGAAGTCATTTGTAATAAATTCATGCCATTCTACGTAGTTAGAAAACAATTAATATTCAGATGCACTTTAATTAGTTTCAGGCAGCAGTGGAGAGATTTGTTTATTCCTGTGCAGGCTACTGCGTGGCAACCTTTGTTCTTGGAATAGGAGACAGGCACAATGACAATATTATGATCTCAGAGACAGGTGAGTTTGTCTGTGGCTGGTAAGGTTTTTATCTTGGTAAAACATACATAACAACAAATTCGCTAGCTTATACACTGACCTTGGGCAACCATCACCACCATCTGTCTCTTCGTCCATCCACCCATCTATTCATCCATCTCATCGCCCATCCATCTTCCCCATCTGGAAACACTTGGTCCACATCCATTTCATTAAACATTTCTCCCATCCCCAATCCTCCCAGCACACAGTCATTTCCAAGGGGAGTTTAAGGTACTTAGCACAAATTTGGAAATCATTACTATGAGGACTCTAATTCCTTGACCACTCTAGAAAGTACCTCAAGGGATGGGTAAGGGAAGAAGAGGCAGGACATGGTTTTTAAGAAAGGAAAATTATATAGAGAGCTAGAAACCAAGGATAAGGCATGTCTCCAAAGGTGGTTAACATAGGAGTGGGCAATCATCTCAGGGAGTAGAGAAGCCTCCGCAAAAAGCCCAGAGAATCCCTTAAATCTGCAATGTTTTGCCTCCCTAATCCTCCTGCCTCCTGGTTCACAGCCCACTCTGACAGTGGCCAGTGGTGGCTACCACACTGTGAGATTTTTCAACATGCAATCTGAACCAATTTAATAGTAGAGTATGAAAAGAACACCAGAGGGAGGCAATTGCTCAGTCCTTATGAGAACAGGAGTAGTATAAAGGAGACAAAGCATTTGTGAACCACTGTATTGAAATGGTAACTAGCCAAGAAGAAAGAAGAAATGATGAAGTGGTGGTGGTGATAGTGGTAGCCATAACAACTGACCCAACAGAGATTCATCAGATTGATTCATTTTTATGGTGCTACTCAAGAGTAAAAGTTGAATGCTCCTCCCCTCGGCAGAGGTCAACATCTTTCTAGTCTGGGTTTCACCAAGGACATAGAAGACTGAGGCTTAATGCTAATGCATTAGCCAGAGAACTTGCACCTACAATTCTGAGAATAATTTTAAGGTCAGAATTTTTTTAAGGCTTTGGCAGTCACCTAAAGAACACCAGAAGGCTACCAAAAACACACTTGCTTCAAAGAACGCTTGGCGGTTACTAATACTTTCACACACCTGCTAAGATAGAAAATACTGCAAGTTAATAAACAACGTGATAAAGAGCTCTCATAAGATGACTCGTTTTCAGGCAACTTGAGCATTATTTCAAGAAATAAACAAAGTGTTGTTACAAGCACATGTGTTAGTGTAATAATATCAGGTATTTTCTTCTCTTAAGGAAACCTATTCCATATTGACTTTGGACACATTCTTGGGAATTACAAAAGTTTCCTGGGCATTAATAAAGAAAGAGTGCCATTTGTGCTGACCCCAGACTTCTTGTTCGTGATGGGAACTTCTGGGAAGAAGACAAGTCCACACTTCCAGAAATTTCAGGTACATCCCCACCCTTTCCTGGCCCCCTGAGAACACCCACCTGGCAGGTGCTGTGTGACACATGTGGCAGCCCATGTCTGCTTCTCCCTGGGCACTGATCCAGCCTCTGCCCCACTGCTGGCATGACCAGCCTCGCCTCCTTCTTGCCACCTCGATTCATGCCTAACATGTAAAATGCTGCATCTGAGAAGCCCACCCACCCAAAACCAAATGGCAAGAAACCCACTCCATAAGTGATGGCACCCTTGAACACAGGACACCAGGATGACCCCAGTACTGAAGAAAGGGCTCTGAGAAAGGGAACCCAGAGAGAGGGTGGCCACTGAATAGCTCTCTGTGCAGCACATTCTCTAAAAGAACTAAACTTCACACCTATTTTTCAGGGCTCTCAAGCAATTTTGAGCCTCATGTGGCTTTTGCTACGTGTGTGCCTTTATGGCTTTGTTAGCAGAGGGAGTCCTTGCTCCACCTCACGTGATTGTCTTGTTTCAGTAAAGGGCAGTCTCTCCTCTCACTGAAAAGCTTGTCAACCTGACCCCAGACTTTACAGAGAGCTCTGCTTTGAGCTGGGCATGGTGGTGTATGCTAGTGATTGCAGCCCTCTGGGAGTCTGAGGCAGGAGGATCCCCAACTTTAACCCCAGCCTGGGCAACTTTGTGACTTCATGAAGCTCTGTCTCAAAATACAAAATAAAAGGGATGGGTTGTAACTCAGATCAGGACACTGGATTCAACCTCCAGTACTGCACACGAAAGAGAGGCGGGGCTCTGTTTTTCTTATCTGTAAATGAGATCCCACAAGAGGCCACCATTTCCCTGTAGGGTGTTCACATTTGACTTATTTTTTCATTCCTGCTTGGTCTGTATTCAGTTTTGACTATCAAATGTCTCAAATGAGGGGTGGCCAGACAGCTCAGCAGATTAAAGTGCCTGCTTAAGCAGATGCAGGGGCCAGGGGTTTGATCCCTGGCCTGCCATGCTGGCCCTTCCCCCCAGGGTGTGCTGAGCCAGCAAATGAGACTGGGTGTGGTGGCACGTGCCTATAAGTTCCAGCACTTGGGAGCCTGAAAACAGGAGGATCACTACACATCTGATCTGTGTAGTGAGACTCTGTAGACCCTGTACTAAATATATAAAGAAAACAAAATTTTGAAAGTCTCAAAAAGATGAGAACATTTACACTTGCAAATTTAATAACTGTTAATGAACACAATTGCGAAAAATGGTAACCACACCTATTTTATAGCTATACAAACACAAGACAGACATGAAGAGTAATTATGTCTGTGCCTGTTTTCCTGGGGTTCTCTTTAAATAGCCACGTGCTTAGTGTGTCTTAAACATGGTTTGGTCTGCATCCACATCACAGGGACAAATCTTTCAACAGAATCCCTTCTTGATTCCAGTGTGATAGATAGCATGGGCTTCTAACTTCAGTAGAACGGGTACTGGGAGGGATTGTTCTCTAACCAGTGGGATGTTTGTTCCCCTGGCTGTTTTTCGATTTGGTAATTACAAGCCTCTCCCTGCCATAGTTCCAGTGGTGTTGTCAGAGAAACTGAGAGCTCTGTGGCCAGATGGTCTTAGGGTTCTTAGTGTGTGTGTTTTTCTGCACCAATTCACTTGGGTTTCAGACTATTTCCAGGGACTTGACACATTTCAGTTCTGTTTTTCTTAAAAGTTAAAAATCGCATATTTTGACAACTTCCTGGAAGAGAAAAATGGTCCAAAAAAAGAACGTGGAAAGATTTTTCCATTTAAAGGGGGCAAACACTCAGCTCTGCTCTCCTGGAAGGTGGGGTTCATCAGACAAGCTCAGACAAAGAGCAGCAATAGACTGAGATTCCAGGACTTAGGGCTTGGCTTTACTGACTGGTGCTTGCTTTCTGTGGCTCTGTTCTCTTCTTTTGCCAGTGTCATTTCCAAGGACACTGCCCATCTGTCCTGTCACTGTGGATGTCCCCAGAGATCCCTACAAGGCTCACATTACCCTATAAAATGCCAGCAGAACTTCACTTCCACTTTCTGTGCTTCTACTACCGGTGTTTTATTTTTTAAGTTTCAAAATTTTTTTATCAAAAGACCTTTGTTTGGAGCAGCTCAGAAGTCCCCCACCCTTCTGACAGCTTCTCCACAGGCAAGGAGCCTGCGCACATTCTGTCCTCTTGCTCTGACAGCGCTTCCCATCCTTTGCCACCAACGCTCATCTCTCAGGCCACTGAAGCCTCTTTCACTAGCACAGCTTCCAGCCCGTTGCTCCACAGAAACATCCACCTTTGTGCTTCCTGCCATACTTGTGTACAGGAGATGACTTAAAACTACAACGAATATTTAAAAAGTTAACCCCTTAGAGTAAAAGTCACAGTACCAAGAACAAGAGGTTCATGTTTTTGAAGCAAGGAAGAGTAATGTAGATATGTTAAAGGCGATAGGGGCGGTATATCTTTCACTGTAATAAGTCTCACTATAACACTTTTTCGGCATTCCCAGATAGATCACAGCACATGTATTTATATTTTGGAGAAGCCAGCTGCATCTCTAGACCCTCTGGATATGCCCAAGTGAGCCTTAAACACAGACCTTTGGAGGACAGGTACTCAACTTTGAGCCCTGGCCCTCCTGCATACAAGCTGTGCAGACTGAGAGCTGCTCACCCCGTCAGAACTACTCTTGCATCCTTGCAGAAGGAATGGGACCCACCCCGTGTGGTTTTTCTAGGCATCACTCATTTATTTATTTACTTACTTACTTATGTTTGCAATGAGAAAAGCTCTATGGAGCCCTCCATCCTGGAGGCTCCTGCCCAATATCAGGCAGCCCCTTGACTTTGGGCCTCCAGCAGGAAGCACCTGTTAGAGCACAGACTGCCTCATCTCAGCGAGAAGCTAGGCCTGGGGGTTGTTTAACTGAAATATGCAGAATGCTTAGTTTAGCACCTAGACCACAGCTGAGCCTCGCTGCCCCCTGTTACATACTCCCCCGCGGGGCTTCGAACTCCGAACACTTGAAAAGCCACTTTTGGAAAGAGGTCTCAGAGGATCCAATCCAGGAAACATGACAAAGCAACACGTCCTAGTATAAAGGTCCCACCTCCCCTCTGCGCGTTGGTTCCCTTCTGTCTCTCTCCACCCTCCTCACTCCCACGGAGGAGTTGAATACCATGCCATTAAATTATACACACAAGACTTTCCAGTTTCTTCTTGAGAAGGATGGACCGCAAAACTTTTTTTTCTTTCTTTCTTTCTTTCTTTCTTTCTTTTTCTTTTCTTTTCTTTTCTTTTCCTTTCTTTCTTTTTTTTTTTTTAATGTATTTGTTGCAGGTTCTCACTGCACAGCTCAGACTTGTAGTGATCCTCCTGTTTTCAGCCTCCCCAGCACTGGGATTATAGGCCTGTGTCACCACGCCCAGACTCAGTGCCAGCTCAGCCCTCCAGGGGGCGCTTAGTCTGCTAAGCTATCTCGCTGGCCCTGGTTGGTTAACTTAGACCTCAGACAAGTTGTCTGTCCCTTTTTCCTTTTTTTTAATTTTTTTTTAATTTTAACATACTGCTAACCCAAGATTTTGTGTCTACGTTTTATGTTTCCTTGCTAACGTTCCTCAAGCACAGGGAGCACAGCTCTAAATTCTCTCCCGGGAATCTCAGAATCTCGTATAATTAGGCTTCCATGTTTAGGCAAGCTGGGAAATGTATATATTTACATTTGGAATGAAAGCTGTCCTCATTTCCAGTGAATTGCTAATTTTGACCTGATAATTTGAATAATTTGGGAGGTAAGGTGGGGAAGAGTTGACCCACTTGCACTAAAGATAGGTGAACCTTCCCCATGAAAAATTAAAGCACACATTGCCAGTGGCTAGGGGCAGAGCCAGGGAACTAAAAGAGACACACTGTTTTATCCATTTCTGTCCTTCCTGGGCAGCTGGAGCAGCCGAGGACCATATTCACAAATAAAGCCTAGAAGAGGGGAGAGTTGAGGAATGAGCCACAATTAGGCAGATACAAAACAAATCAAAAGACGCCATGATTTGAACTTAAGAGTAGCTATCATCCTATAGAGTAGCATTTGACCTACATATGCTAAACACATACATTTTTTATGTATTTAGTACAGGATCTGCAGGGTCTCACTACACACAATGGACTTGTAGTGATACTCCTGTTTTCAACCTCCCAAGTGCTGGAATTACAGGCATGGGCCACCACACCCAGTCTCAGTCACCATCTCAGTGCGCCTTGGGAGCAGGGCTGGCATGGCATGTCATGCCAGGGATCGAACCCTGGTCCCTGCACTTGCCTAAGCAGGCACATTAGTCTGCTGAGCTGGCTGGCTGGCCCTAAACACATATATTTAAATGATGATGATTTGAGATATGAATTCTTAGGATAATCTTCCACTTACTGAAGATATTTTTAAAATAGTGTTTAACCCATTTATAATTTGTTTTATACCACTTTATTTTAAATTTCAATGAACAGGTATAGATTATATATAATACAAATACATTTATATCAATGGCAAATGAAATTTGGCTTCTCATGTTGTGGCCTTTTTAAGTTTCAAAGTGCTAAATGCTTTTGATTAAAACCTAAAGTGTAAAATATTTTAAGACATTTAAAATATCAGAAACTTATTGCCTGCTTTCCAAAGACAATGCTGTCAACTATCAGTGTTTTACCTACCTTCTGTTAAATAGTATTCAGCTTTTTAAAAGGTTGTAGATTAATCAGAACTTGCTTAATAACTGAACTTAAGAAATAGGATGTTAATGCCTTACTTCGGCCAGAGCAAAGTTCCCTGACTTCCGGACAATGATGACTTTGTCACTTTGCATAAACCCTGAGCACCTGCAGCCACTACCACAGAGTGAGCCTGCTCTTCTCTGGCCAGTCATCCTGTCCAAGCCTGCTCCTTCGTGTCCGCACTGCCCCACTGTCTGCATGCAGTCCTTGTACTCCCCTGCTCAGAAGGCCCTCGCTGTGCCTTAGGCCTCAGCTTCAG